TATTAGCCATTTGGGGAAAGGCTGGAAGCCAAGTCAGGGAAACAGAAGATACCAGCCTGACTGAGCCCCTCCATCACCATCAAAGCCCTCATAGTCCTGTCTGGGATAACTGAGCTAAGGTGGGAAGGACTTATACTTTGAAGATGTTTTGATTGGATCAAACAGTCATTGCTGAGCCGAGACTCTCTGTGACTAGAATTAATTAAAAAACTTTTAATTTCCTGAGATTGATTGGAAACTTGTAGGGTCTGCCAGTGCTTTCATATCCTCAGGTGTATAATCTATATCCATTTATCTATAAGGCCAGTGGAGGATAAAGAGTAAAGTTGCTGCATGATGATATCGGAATACTGCTTGTTCAGTGTTCTTTTTCCCGATTTCATAAACCTTCTAAGCTAAAGATAGGAGAATGCCTTCACAGTTGGGAGCTGTTTATATTGCCTGATCAGCTGCTGTACCTGGCCTAGTGCCAGCTATCTTCCAAAATCCTGCACAGGACATCCTCTCTCTGGCATCTGGGATCTCCCCTGTCATTCCTGTGTCAGGAAGGCTGTTCTACTTTTCTTTTCCCACCCACATCCTCAGATCTGAGCCCTGGTTTCCCAGGAAGTTCTTCTCACTCTTACCCTGCCAGCCTGGTTGTATTAGATGCCTTCCATGTGTTTCTCCAATCAGCAGATCTTTTTGCTGAAACTTTCACTCTGTGACACCGGGGTCTTTGTATCTTTCCCCCTTCCTTTAAAAACAGTCTTCTCCTTGAAAACAGGACCCATGCCTACTTCACCTGATTCTGTTGCCTAGTGAGTTGTGTTGAGTGGATGAATGAACTGATGCGGGCTTCGGTGTCTAATGTATGTGTTTGGGGACCCCATTGGGAGATGTACAGCGAGGTCTGAATTGAAACCAATCTAGTTGACTGAAGTTGAAGCCTCAGCATATTCTCTTGGCCACTCTAGCCATGTTCTCCTCTTGGAGTCAGCATTTCCATTGTGCTCCCCACTCCAAGCCTGGGTAGACACCAGCCTTATCAGGACCTAGGCCTAACTCAAAATTCTGTTTCCCTTGGATTTTGTAACCAGACCATAAGCAAAGGCCAACAAGGATCTGGGTCACCAGTTATTCAACAGTCAGTATATAGCATATATGCCAATACATTACTTCCTTTAGCCCTGTCACACTCCCTTGTTGCAGTTCAGGAGACTGTGATCCAATGAAATTATGCAAGTCACCCAAGTTGGCACATCTTGCAGGTGACTGGGCCAAGCATCAAACTCAGATATGTCTGGATCTTCAGCCTGGTCTCTTTGAATGGCATCATACCTTTTGATAATCATTTCTATTTAGTTCCCATAGCAAAGATTGGATAGGTATGAAGGTCCTTGGTCCCTTTGTGAAGGTGAGAAAGCTCACCTCGGGGAGGTTGGAGGACTCACTGAAGGGCACGCTCCAGGATGACGTTGGTGTTGTCATCAGAGCCCTGGTCTCCTGACTCGCAGTCTGGAGGACACTTTCTCCCAGCCCATATTGCCATTTCCATCAGACCATGTAATTTCTTTTTCTGATTGGGACACAGAGCCAGCAGCCAAAAGATCACAATCTGTCTGCCTGAAATCTCCCTCTGCTTTGAAATGAGAGGGTTTCTTTTTTTTTTTTTTATTTTTGCAATGTATTTCAAAAAGGAGCCAGGTTAAACCACCCTTGTGCACACTGAGTTGGCTCAAGTTTCCCTGGTCCAGTTCCAATTTCCTCTTCTCATCTTCGGGATGACAGGACAAGGCAGGGTGCCTCCAACAGCACTGCGGCCATCTCAGCTGGTGCATGGCCTCTCATTTCACCCTGCTCTCCTTCCAAACACAAACTCCTGTTCCTCTGTGCCACCCCATCCACTCAATTGTCACGTTTTCTTAGCTTTGTGTTCTAAATATCCCATGGGTACCATCTTAGCCTAGGCCTAGACCACCCCCCCCAGGATGGTTGTGTCATGCTACCCACACTTGCATCTGCCTTTGATCTTGGCCCTTGCATCTCTCCTTTCCATAGCTGTGACAGTGACTTTCCACTCTTCTTCAAAATTCTCATTTTGCTCTTTATCGCTTTCATCTTCAAGCACAATTTCTTTACAGACTGCATTGCAGACTTATATCTTGGTTCTGAAGTCCTACAATCATCATGGACCACTTCTAGCTCCCATGCAATATCCTTCCCCACCCAGTCTCCATGTCTGCTGCATTCTCCCCCAAACAACACAGCCCAATTGAGTTTGACAAGTTTCTACCCAGTCCTAAAAATCCAGCTTACATGTGTCTTCCACTGGGATGCCTTCTCTGGTTCCCGAACTCTGAGACTTCCTCTGTATCCATGTAAAAACATTTTTGTTTACTGCCACACTGTCTGTGCTGGAACTTTACTTGATCTATGTCAGGAACTCAATAGATATTTGTTAAAGGAGAGTACCCCATGGCCTTCTGCAATGCCTCTACCATTGAACTTATCATACATGTTATTATCATTGTCTCTTTCCTTTTTTTTTTGTTGTCTCTCCAGGTGAGAAAGCTCTGATTCAGGATTTACACTTTATTGTTCAATATTTTTTTTCCCTAGGTGCATTGTGTATATCTTTATGTTTACTAAGGATATGATTACTTTTGATGAATGAGGATTGAGTCTGGAGGGGCAAAAGCCCTAGGCTTAAGTAGGGACCGTTTCCTCAGAAACAATAAATTCCAAAAAGAAGTAGTGTCAGATGTGCTAAGGGAGAATAGGAGAACCCATCAACCTGGACGTCAGAAAACAATGGCATAGTGCTGACCTCTTCCAGAGTGACCCATGTGTATCTCATTGTGAACAGTGCTGTGGGACACGCTCTTTCTAGCCAACTCCTTCTACCTTCTCTGTACCATATTGTAGGAGAGCAAAGCAGATTCAGTGGGAGATGAGATTCATGAATGCGCTGCAGGAGTTACAGGAGCCTGGAGGAGTTCCAGGACATACATCACCAAACATGTTGGAGAAGAAGGGCATGTGACACACAGGAGATGGGTAGGACTTTGGGAACCACAAATCCCTTGCCTCAAAGCCGAGCCTGTTCCCTTGACCTTGCTGAGGCAGTTGGATATCAAAGCTACTTCAAGGTGATTTCAAGGTGACTGACTCAGCAAGGTGATACCAGGAAGGAACTCAGATCTTATCCTGCCTCCAGTGTTCTTCAGGGCCTGCAACACAACTCTAAGACCAGGCCTCTTTCCTTCTACCCCCTCCCTCTGGGACCACTGCCATTCTTCCCTTGTCCCCACACAGGTAATTGAGCCATTAGAGTCTGAAGGCTGTGGTTGCTTGGGTAGAGGAGTCTCAAATAATGACATGACCAGAAAAGATTTTTTTCCCATTTAGAGAGTATGGTAGAAGCTCTATGACATTCAGGAAGCACTTAAGAAAGCCTAAAATGAAGGACACTTCCATCTCCCTGGAGGGAGCACTTACACATATAATCAGCTTCCTGTCTCTGTGGATTCCAAAGCTGCAGGTTCCGCCTTTAAGAAGGAAATTTGATGTTCAACTGCATTTGCACTGAACATGTATGGGCTTCTTTTTGTTGTCAGTGCTCACTAAAGAATGTACCGAGCATTTACATTACATTAAGAATTACAAGTAGTATGGAGATTATGGAAAGTACAGAGGAAAATGTGCATAGGTTAGATGCAAATGCCAAATCACTTTGTGGAAGGGTTTTAAGCACTTATAGAATTCAGTATCCTCAGAGGTCTTGGACTCATTCCCGTACAGGTACTGAGGGAGAGTTTGTTTCATCCTTTTCCTCTTTCCTCCCTCAACTGTAATTCTTTATCTGTAAAATAAAAGTGCTAGGAAAGGAGAAATGGATCACTCCAAACACAAAAGGACGGAGCAAAGCAGAATCTGCAGTAGCTCTGACCCATGTCTTTAAACATAGAAATCAACACTCGGGAAGATGGAATTGCCAAGAAATCCCTAAGAAGATGAAACGAGGGAGAAAGCAACCTCTAATTTCATCAAGGCAAGCTTAGGAATTTTCACAGAAGTGTTAGGAGAAAACAAGGAGAAAAAAAGCTGCAGGGCCTGGCATGATAGCATAATGGTTAAGGTCCTCGCCTTAAATGCACCAGGATCCCATATGGGCACCAGTTCTAATCCTGGCAGCCCCACTTCCCATCCAGCTCCCTGCTTATGGCCTGGTAAAGCAGTCAAGGACGGCCCAAAGCCTTGGGACCCTGCACCCACATGGGAGACTGGGAAGAACTTCCTGGCTCCTGGCTTCAGATTGGTGCAGCACTGGCCATTGTGGTCACTTGGGGAGTGAATCATTGGGCGGAAGATCTTCCTCTCTGTGTCTCCTCCTTTCTGTACATCTGCCTTTCCAATAAAACAAATAAATCTTAAAAAAAAAAAGCTGCAGAGAGGATAAAAAAAAGCTGCAGAGAGCTACAGACCAGGGAGCATAAGGGAGGCCAAGAGCAGAGAAGAAGAGAGGAGGGGAGGAAGACGAGGAGAGGAAGGGAAACAAAAAGTAGAGAGTGAAAAATGAGGCAAGTGAAGAGGGGCAGGGTGAGAAAACGAGGGAAATCAGCAATATAGAGCAGAAGTGAGCTAGCAGGAGCAGAAGACAGGAGAGAGAAAAGATTTTGCATGTTCAGGGTTAGAAGGAATAGTCATTAATAAGCTGTCACATTTACATGCCTTAGATGACATACGACTCACTACCCACAGAAGGGAGGAGAGAGGAAAGTGAGAGAACCACAAGCTATGTGCAAGCCACAGCTCAAGGGCACCTCAGGGAGATTCAAGGCATACGTGTCCTTATGCAAGTTGGGGCAACCCAATTTAGCACCATCAGAGCCTGTCTCCTCCATCCTCTCCTCAAAGTGTCAGCTCTTACCTGAGTTGCAGACTTAATTTCTGACCTGCCAGCCTTGAATACTCCTGGCCAGATGAGGGCTGGCCCAGGGCTATGTCAGGATTCTTGCCAAGGATATAAGCTTCTTCGGTGTATGGTACAGCAGCGGTGGTGCCCCCGATGATGTAGCTGTAGAAGGAGACTTCCAAAGTATAGCAGTAGGAAGTGTGGTCCAGGAGTCCCCCAAGGAAGCGGCGACCAGTTCCTGCTTTCATCGCATCTCGGTTGAAGGATGTGCTGGACTGTGGAAGACAAGGTAGAGGGGAGAGTCAGGGCTGGGAGCCTCAGTGCTCTCGGGTCCTGAGCAAGTCTCCACGTCTCAGCTTCCTCTTCTCTGAGAAATGGGCTTTCATCCCACAACACACAATCCTGAGAAACACTGGTTAAATAAACCAGTAATTGAATGAAAGCATCCAGACAGTAGCAGAAGCTGGCAGAGTGGGAACAGAGGGGCAGGGAAAAGCAGGAAATAAGAAACAACCCTATCGGGAAGACAATGAGAACTAAAATTTGGGCAGTACATTCGACTTTAAATGGTATTCTCTGACCAGTCTGTCCCCTTTGAAGGCCATGGAAACCTTACCTGGCAAGGGTCTCTGAGACATGTGACCCAGATTTCCAGGAGGGCTGGGACTCAGTAAGCCACTCTCTGCACTCAAGTGACAGTGGCCTGGCCATCCTGTTGGAGATGCTTACAGAACGAAGTATGCCTGTGTTTGTCCCACGGTTTCATATGGGGAGCCAGCTGCTTTCTTCTGCCACTGAATTCTGGGTAACCTTGAACTGAATATTGAACTTTTCCTGGGCCATGGTGTTTCGTGAGTGTCAAGAGGGGGCCTATACAATGCCGCCACTCCTTTCATGGCCTGACATTCAAAGATTCTGGCATTCAAAGTGCATCTTACCAAGCAGAGAAATTCATCATCTCCATTAACATCCAGGGCTGAAGCAATGGGCAGGTGAGTTTGCAGCTCATTAGCTTCAACTATTACTGTGACCTGTGTGTACCTGGCCATGTGAAAATAACAGACCCCAGTGATTTAGTAGCAAAACAGGAACATTTTGCAAGTATACTCTCCCATCGTGCCATAACCACACTCCAAGCGCCCTCCTTCTCTTCTCTCCCCACCCCGTTCAAATACTGCTTTTTCTGGTTTCAACACTTACAACCTTGCTCAGGCCCCACTCTCAAACAAGGTGGGTTATAACAGGAACAGACTCTGCGGTTTAAGTGTTCACTGCCACCAAATACTTCCATAACTGTATCCGCATTTATCCTCCCAAGTGATAAATGAAGCAGACAGGGAAGAAAACAATCAGTTACCAAATACTGGCAAAGAAGGGGAGGCCCAGGAAGAGCTGTGAGGGCAGAGTGATGGCTGCAGAACTCCCTTGGCATACATGTTGTTGGTGTTCTCAGACTGAGACAACTGGGGTAGATGCAGTCATAGGCCGAGGGCTGACATAGCGGAAGTGTTTGGTGAGTTTCCTTCTCTCTAGTCCTGCAGTCACATTCACTACAGGAATGAAGCTCATTGCACAGCTCCGACAACACCTTTCCAAAGCTGCCTTGCCTGACCTGAGCACTGCTGCCCTGGACAAGGGCTGAGCTGGTTTACCTCTATCCTCCACACAAGACTTGGCACAGAGCGGGTGCTCTGGTTGAAGGTTAAGTCAAAAGAAAGAGAAGGGAAGGAGGTGGTGAGAGGGGGTGCTGGCTGGGGAGGGCACTGTTGGCTTACATAGGAGAAGTCCTCAGCATTCTGGCAGAGGAGTTTGGGAAAGATGGCTTGCCTCTGGAACAGCTCCTCATCCTCAAAGATGTTTCCGTACATGAAGCCATTCATCATGGTGGAGTGGGCATGGATGTCAATGTAAAACTCCAGGCTTGTTTTCTGTTGAAGAAAAGAGGTAATATATGAGAATTATCCGACTGGACAACTCACCTTGAAGGAGCCAGGTGGAAAACACACCCACACATGTATATGCACATACACACACGCACACATACACACATACCCACACTTTTGTTTTAGTTGGCCCTATGGGTTAGCAGATTCAGCAGCCACTTGCAGTGAGGTGACAGGGGTTGCAACAGATGAAGCTCAGTTCCTTCTCACTTTTAATTAATTAATTACTTAATCTATCTATCTATCTATCTATCTATCTATTTATTTATTTATTGGAAAGACAGAGTTACCAAGGGGAGAGACAGAGAGATCTTCCATCTGCTGGTTCACTCCCCAAGTGGTCACAATGGATAGAGCTGAATCAATCCCAAACCAGGAGCGAGGAGCTTCTTAGTCTCTCCTTTAGGTATAGGGGTCCAAGTGCTTGGACCATCCTCTGCTGCTTTCCCAGGCACATTGGATTGGAATTGGAGCAACCAGCTGCAGGTGGTGATTGATCCGCGGCACCAATCCCTCTCCTCACACTTAGTGCCACCTGGAAAGGCCTGCCAGCAGCACCCTCTCTAAAGTCTGAGCAGTTAGCACATTCATGACCAAATAGGCTTTGAATGAAATGCTATTTGATCGATAAGAAATACCTTCCATGAAACATGGTTGCATTTACCTTGGGTTTGATTGCGGGTTTGCTCCCAGTTGGTCATTCTAGCTTTGGCCTTGAAATCCCCACTTACCTGAAAAGTGGGTATTTCAATTCCAGCCTCAGAGAGTGGCAGTGGAGATCCAACAGCAGTAATAATCTGTCCTTCACTGTGTGTGACACATGCCAGGTGTCATTCCAGAACTTTACATATGAGGAGCTCCTAGTTACTTGTTTTCATGATGTCAGTGTCACTGCTATTCTCAATAACATGTAAATAGTATTTCAAAAAGTTTTTGGGAGACTGGAATGAATAGGTAAGTTTATTTTTGTGCAGATTTGAGATCCATGTTCATGGAAACTGTGGAACTCTATAGATAGGATTTTCCTATCTATTTCCTATGGCGTTTTTGGATTTCTCCTATGCATGGGGGTAGAAGCTTGGTGATCTATAATGGAGACACTGATGAGTCTTCCTGTACTCTCTACTTACACATTGAGGCAGCACCTATCTCAGCACAGTATTATTTTCCTGCATTCCCTGTAGGTAGGGGGTTATATGTAAAGAGCCTAGTGCTTCTAAGTGAGAGTGCTGGGAAGCTGTGTGCAGAGTGGCTGGACAAACCATTCCAGAGGGATTACCCCAGATATAATGAACTGGGGGATGCTTAGGCTGTTCTTCAATGCTGCTCAAATCCAGATTTCTTTTCCCATATAGTGGCCCAGTTTATATCTAATAGTCCTTTGTATGAGTGACAGAGTACCCAAGCGTGGGTGGGGAGGACATGTCTAAGCTCCAGAAACAACCAGGACAGGCACCAAGGCACCCTGACGCCTGCACTTTCAACTCTTCCTCATCAACGACCAATGCTGAAACACTCAAGGCCAGCCTTGGCCACCTGTCCATCCCCTTTCTAAACACACAGTGCCGGGGAGGATGGAAAGTCCACATTCACAAGGATTTCTCTCTCCTTGGGACACTTTTAAATGAAGTTAAACCAAAATGAAAACCATGTTGCTTCCAAAATGTGGGCTTGATGACTGTCATTTCATTTGCCTCAGAGTTGGAGTGAAAAATTACGTCTTGCCAAGCTCCAGTTCTCTGGGTAACATAAGCTGTCTTTTGAGAGATGCAAGATGCACTGCTCTGTGTGATATTAAACTCATCATTTTCAGCTTTGGAGGTGGAATACACAATGATTCAACAGGAGCCCTGTAAAAGTCATCTTTGCAATTTTATTTTCTTCGATTGTCTGTCTTTTCCTCTGAGATTTTGATGTGCTGCAGAGGAAAGGAAGTAGAGAGACGCTGTAAGAAACGTGTAAGAGAAAACTGCAATTTATAACTCTGGATGTCAAAATGAGATAGGGTTTTAGAAGCCAGCTTCTCTGAACTTCCTCAGGCTGCCCTAAGTGGGGAGGCTGCTTGCCTAAAGCTGGCCAGCAAGGAGGTGAAGGAGCAAATCTCCCCATCTGGCCTTGCTGATGACCATTGAGGGTGCAGCCCTATCCTTCCATTTGCTAGCTATGACTTTAGTCCACAGGCCAATGTATGGATGGTTTCACATGATTTTAAAATCAAAAAGTCTATATTAATTCCAAGGAAATATCTTCCTTCCATTCCTGCTCCCAGTCAGAAGTTTGGCTCCTTGGGTTCTGTAATCAAACTAACATTTACTGTGGTGGAGTCCCTGCTTACACAAGTGAGAACCCCATGTCACATCCCTATCTCCTAAAAAAAAGGCAGCATTCCTAATATACTACTCAGATCTACTTTTTCATCTGAATATACCTTGGAGGAGAGTTACGTCACTCTATCCTATTATGAACTAAGCTGTTTTTCCTTGACAGATATTGAAGGCGTCTCTGATCTTTCCACGTTACAGCTGATGCTGATTTTAGTATATCTTTGCAATACATTCTTTCACAAATATACAATTATATGTAAAACAACTTCTTTGAAGTAGAGTGTTTGGCTACCTTAGAGCCTTGACAGTTTGATAAATATTGACAGAATGATCACAAGGGCCAGTATATACTCCTAATGATGTATTATAACACCTTTCTCCATTGTCTTCATAGCATGGGTGGAATCAAATTATTTGTTATTGACCAAATGGAGAGTGATCGATTACACTTCAGATTAGGTTTAAGCTAAATTCCCCCTCACTCTCATTATCTTTTTTTATATGGCAAAGTATCTTTTTATATGTTTAGAAACTACTTGTGGGGCGGTTGTATGGCCTAGTAGTTAAGATGCCCATGGATCATACCTAAATATCTGTGTTTGATTCCTACCTCTGACTACTGACTCAGCTCCTTGCCAATGCAGGCCCTGGAGGCAGTAGTGATGAAACAAATAATTAGGCTTCTGTACTCTGTGGGAGAGCCTGAAACAGCTCTTGGCTCCCAGCTCCAGCTTGGCCATCCCTGCCTGCTGTGGGCAGTTGGGGAGTTAACCAGAAGATGAAGGTCTCTCTCTCTGTTTCTCAAATAAGTAATACATCTAGAAAACTATACTATATGCCTTAAATGTATGCAATAAAAGTTATAAAACTACTTGCATATTCTCTTTTGGGGACTGTCCATTTCCTTGACCCATTTTAAAACCTGGGTTATCAGGCTTATAAAAGTTAGGTTTTGAAAAAATTAGGCTTTATGTATAGAATAAACACATTTTTGTCCTTTTTAACTTTTATTAGCACATTCTTTTCATGCAGAAAATTTTGAATACTGCATTTTTCACAATGATTTATCACTTTTCCTCTGTGAGATTTTGGTTGAATTCTTCTGTTGTTTCTTCTATTTGATTCTTTCAGGGTTTATTTTTTTAAACATATCGGTTCAATTTAATTTAGATGGATGTACAAGGTAAGGCAGGGTCAAATGTTACTGGCCCGCCACTGTTTATTGAAATGTACATATTTTTGTCACTAATTTGAAAAGCCATATTTGCCCTACAAAGTTCTGTATGCATTTAGGTTAATTTTGGAATTTTCTATCCTGTTCTAACCATTTGTTCATTCATGTGTCAGTACCACCCTGTTTTAATTATGTCCTATTCACAATAATATTTTATTATTTGGAGGGTATTACCATTTCATTGTGCATCTTTCACTAAATGATCATGAATTTTTCTGCATATCTTTCTCTAAGAAAAGTTTTATTTCTTAAAGCTCCAAAAATATTGTCAGTGATCTCAATATTTTGCAATATATTCTTATTAAATTCGTAGATTAATCTAGAAACAATGAACATTTATGAGTTTGCACCTTCTCATCCAAGAATATGTTTTGATTTTTCCATTTCAAGTTTTCTTTAGGAAAACTGTTATAACCAGGTGGTTAATATTTTTAATTTCTTCTACAATTTTTTTCTCCACTATTGTTTCTTATTTTTATTTCCCCTGCCCCCTCCTCAAATCCCTTTTCCCCTACCAAATTCCCCTTTATTATTATTATAGCATAGCTTTTCATAAACAGTCACATGTTCATCATCGCGGGCAGGGACAATGGCAGAGTCCAGCATCCTATTGTCAAGATACAGCTAACAGTCTTATTAGTAGTCCATCTTTGATCCGTAGGCAGAGATGCACACTGCCCTGCATCCTCACATCTGGATATGATAGTCTCCATTACACAGTCACTATACATCCCCTTAAATGAAAAGCCACAATACAAAATCAACAACAGGAAGAAAAATAAAAATTACAGCACCATTTTTTTTTCAAGAGGCTTTGATAGTTCCACAGTCCTGAATTGCTGGCGATCCTGCCACTCCAATCTTGATGAACTCTTCCCCAAACCAATGGCTTCTATAGTCCACCTAATTTCTCCGTCTGCCCAGATCTTCACTGCCAACGCTTGGCTGGGGTAGTTGATCAATTTGCTCTGTCCTCTGTCCTCTGCCATGGTACCAGGTGTCCTCTGGAGGCTCCAATGTACTGCCATATCTTCCAAGTACATTTGGATATGCTGTCTGTCCTCTGCTGTGTCTGAGCCACTGTGGAGGCCCAGCTCTGACACATGCACTCCCACAGTCAGCCCATGGAACCTGCATTTCTTTCCATGGTTAGGGTTCTGAGTCCAGCAATTCAATTGGTAGGGAATTGTCCAACAAACCTCATCTGAGGCCATGCCAGACCTTATTCTTGTGTGTGTTTGCCAATTCAGGGTCTGGCACAGTCTGTCACCCAAATCAGTCTAGGCACACACACACTGGTAGTTGCAATTGCTGGGTCAGTTCTATCTCCAGGCCCTGGTTTGCACAACCCAATAGGTGTTGGAATCCAGCCCTATCCTGTGCACCTCATACTCGACCTTCACGTAAACCAATGGGAACTACAGTCT